TTAATCTCACACTCAGAGGTGGAGAAATACATTCCCTGACATTGCTACTTTAAAAAAAACAATGTGATTCTGTCACCAATAAATTTATCTGAAGTAATAACCACTTTCCCTTTTATGATACAGGGGGAAAAGCTTATAAAAAAGATGAGAGTCTGGCCAGTGTGGCCCAGTGGTTGAACAATGACCCATGAACCAAGAGGTCACTGGTTCAATTCCTAGTCAGGGCACATGCCCGGGTTGTGGGCTCAGTCCCCAGGAGGAGGTGTGCAGGAGGCAGCCAATAGATGATGTTTCTCTCTCACCAATATTTCTATGTCTCTATCCCTCTCCCTCTCTAAAAAATCAATAAAAACATGTTTTTTAAAAAAACATGCACATGACTCTATCAAAAATAACTTAAATTCAGACCAAGTGGAGCATTTGTCCTGATACCTGTGGGAGTTCCAGTGGCAGTCAGAATAATGACAGTGCTGTACAGAATGGGGAGAGAGAGGAAGATGGGTTTGGATGTATTTGTGCGTGGGTGTTCCCCACGCCAATCCACCCAACCCACATGCCATCAGACACTAGTCTGACACCCTTTGAAGTGGAAAGGGTGATTGTAGACAGCAGCCCACTCGCGCTCAGGTGCTTGAAATAGACAGGAGCAGCGTAGGAAATGACAATCCAAGCCCTATTCCCCACGCCCTAGGGCAGTGATGGCGAACCTATGACATGTGTGTCAGAGGTGACACGTGAACTCATTTTTTTTGGTTGATTTTTCTTTGTTAAATGGCATTTAAATGTATAAAATAAATATCAAAAATATAAGTCTTTGTTTTACTATGGTTGCAAATATCAAAAAATTTCTATATGTGACACGGCACCAGAGTTAAGTTAGGGTTTTTCAAAATGCTGACACGCCGAGCTCAAAAGGTTCGCCATCACTGCCCTAGGTTGTCACACACAGACTCCCCCGCACCCATCTCCTTAACCCCCGGGAGCCCAGTCCTGCCCTTATAGGCGAATTCATGGAGAAAGGAGTTGAATTAAGCTTTAGAGAAGAGTGTGTAACCTTCTGGTAGAATATAATGTCTCCAGGGCATACATTTTATTTCTAAAGTATGGATCAGCTAGACATAGGCAATTGATTTTGTTATTGATAGTAAAAGCAATCTAATTAATGCTTGCCACAACCCTTTGAGATAACTTACTCTCATCTCCGTGTTATAAAATGGTTATTGCTTATTGAATTCAAATTGCATTAGACTAGATGCAGCAAGTTTTAATTAATTCAGGGGCAATAATCCATAATTGAAGTTGTTTGTTTCTATGAATAACTTCCTGATGGTTTCCATTCATCCAATCTTGCTATAGCAGGAGGCAGCGGTGCGGGTAAAAAGTGCACAGCCCTGCAGGAAGGACACGTGGATCATGTGCCAACAAGTCAGGTCACCGCTCCGAGGCTCCGCAAGCCCCAGCTTTGAAAATCAGAGAGCGATACCTACATGGTCAAATCAATACCAGGGACGGTAATGGCCTCTGGCGCCGGACGGCTGGGGTTTGTGTCGGGACCCACCACTTAATGTCCGTGTGAGCTTGTGCGCATCATTTAACCTCTGTGACCCCTGGTCTCTTCATCTGTGAAAAGGGGATAGTTTTCACTGGGTGGTGATGAGGATTAAATGAAGATTTGTAGAGAAGTTACACAGTGCCTGATCCACAGTGAGTGCTATGTGGATGTTGGATAAGGAAAATAAAACAGAAAGGTTAGAAGAGCAGGAGCAACGGAAAGTGCACCTCTACCCAGGAAGCTCCAGCTGAGACGATTTTGGATAAACGATGGCTTCTGTCGGCCACGCTTCACTTCCTCTCTCCCTCTCACGCTGTCTTCACCTGCTCCCCGGTGACTACAGAAAACCAGCCCCGGGATGTGAAATGAAATGGCGGTTCAGAAGAGCAAACTCATTTTTCAAAGGACATTTCAGAGGAAAAAGAGGCCCTTGGCTCTCTGCTACATTTCATCGACTCTGTGAACATTATCGAGAGAGAGTTTCATTTTTGCTTTTATGTAGGAAGCTTTGCCATTTTAAAAATTGAAAGAAAGAAAAATGAGTCAAAGGGACATCAGGATAGTTTTAAAGAACCAGTGTTTTCTAATCACGCTCCAGTCAATTTCAGAAACTTGCTGAAAACTCCCCTGCGCTAGTACTCGCGTGCCTGCCTCGTCGGCGTATAGTGCATGTGTGTATCCACATCTAAGAGCTCTCTTTTTGGCAGACATCCACGCCCACATGCCTCATAAATGCTATTTGAGTACTTACCTAAATAGACAAGGACATGTTGAAAAATAACAATGAACTGATCAAAGCAGTTGCATAGGATTGAGATTTCATCCATGTGCAAGGGAAAAATATGATTTGTTCTAACAATTTGCATATTAGCAACAATTAGTATATCTGCCATTAGAGATGTGATGAATTTGAGTAGGATACATTCTTACACTTAAAATTTTTATTCCTTTTAAAATATATATGTATTTTTATTGATTTCAGAGAGGAAGAGAGAGATGGAAACATCAATGATGAGAGAGAATCATTGATCGGCGGCCTCCTGCATGCCTCACACTGGGAATCGAGCCCGCAACCCAGCCATGTGCCCTGACCAGGAATCCAATCATGAGCATCAACCACTGAGCCACACCAGTTGGGCTTTATTCCTTTTTTTATGCACAAACATGTATGTCATATAAAAATAGAAAAGAGGGATAAAGCAAAAAAAACAAAAAAAAAAACACTTTAATAAACATTGGAATAGCCATTTTGGTAGAACTGTGACTAGGACACAGGATCCTGAATTGCATGGATGGAGAGGACTGGAAGCCTTTAAAAATATCCCACTTTTGTTTCTCAATCCAAACCGTGAGGAATGTCAGATGAAACAAAAGAGAGCGCTCCAGACCAAAAAGCCAAGGACATGCCCCTAATCCGGCCTTTTAGTGGGTAGCGTGAGTATGCCTGCTGGTCTCAATTTCCCCACCTATCAAGAACGATAGTTGGACTAAAGGACTCCACAGAATGTGAGGACACAGCCGTTCCTACTATAGGCCCATGGACATGATGCTCTTTCTCACCCTATCCTGGGACTCATAAAATCCTTTTTAAAAAAATCTTTATTGTTGAAAGTATTATATATATATGCCCTTCCCTCCCGCCCCCCAGTCTTGCTATAGCAGGGAGGCAGCTGTGGCAGGTAGAAAGTGCACAGCCCTTCTAAAAATTCCCCCACATAACCTGTTCCCATTTTTTTCAGCTCCCACCCCCCACACCAGGCCTTCACTACCCTATTGTCTGTGTCCATGAGTTAAGCATATATGCATACTAACTCTTTGAAATCCTTTTCCTTAAAGACTTTGAAGAATCCCCCCAACGTTGTTGGTAATGTTCTTTCAAAGCAAGCCCTCCCACACAGTGGGTGACTAGTCCCACCGTAGGTCACCTTCCCGATGGCCTGCTTGGGATAGAGCAGGTAAGGGCAGTGAAGGACTCAAAATCCTACTAGGGTCTAGGCCTGCGCTGCTCTGTAGCCATGGCTCCACCCAGGCTGCTAGTGTTCCTCCGCAGGGCATAGACATCCTCCTGCGAAGGACCCCGTCTTGTTGAATAAGGTGACTAATACTTATTTTCTTCTTCCCTCCCAATGGCCCAAATCCAATTTCTATGCAAATGCTTTGGTCAGAACATTCTTCTTTTTAACGGGCACCAGGATTCTTTTCCGTGAACAGGAAGATTTGGACTTGCTGTTATGAACGGCATAGTGTTCCTCCTGAGGAGAAGTAGCTGATCTCATTCTTCTGTGCTGAGACCAGCAGGGCATAAAGGCGTTTTTTCCCGGGTTTCCCAAGGACTGGCGAAATCCACCGAAACCAAGGCTGACCTCTCGCCCATGTCCTCATGCCCCAGGGGAGAGATGGCGGTAGAGCTTCCTTGTCTGGAGCCCAGAGTTCAGAATGCACCTCAAAGGTTCACTCGCCTACTCACCGTTATTTACCAGAAGGAATCGTGCAATTGACCACTATTTTTATTTTGGGGAGGGTGGTTTTCTTGGGATTCTCACAGATCAGACAAGCCCTTGTCCTAAAGAATTACAAATTCCCCTGATTGACCCATATCAGTGCAGCCCATTAGCCTTTCTCTTCCTACTTCCAATTTCCTCCCATGTTAGGTATTTTTGTGTACCGTATGCATTTATTGTCTATCTGCTGCCACCAGAAAGCAAGCTTTTAGAGCAGTGGTTCTCAACCTTCTGGCCCTTTAAGTACAGTTCCTCATGTTGTGACCCAACCATAAAATTATTTCGTTGCTACTTCATAACTGTAATGTGCTACTGTTATGAATTGTAATGTAAATATCTGATATGCAGGATGGTCGTAGGCGACCCCTGTGAAAGGGTCATTCGACTGCCCAAGGGGTTGCGACCCACAGGTTGAGAACCGCTGTTTTAGAGGATGCCGACTTTGTTCTGTCCACACCTATGTCACCAAGGGCAAAAATACACATCACAGGTACCCAGCAAATTATCTAGCATCCAACGGCTAAATGTCAGAACCCCTCCAGGTGAATAAAGAATATTTAAGGGTCAGTATAAATCATCTCATTAGCTTTAGGCACAGGAGATAGTTGTTTAATACACAGAGACATCAATTATATCGCCACCGAATGCTCTCCCATCTCAACCTCTGAGACTCGAGATGGCATTTCCAATGTAAAGTTTTATAACTCCCTGTCCCTCCTTTACTGTCAAAAGGCACAATTTAATATCCAATTCTATTTATGTCTTGTTGCAATAAAGGAGATGCTCTTTATTGCATGGGTTGCAATCAAAGCTTCATGTTTTACAACTGGAAATGCCTTAGACAGTATTACTCTCAGCCCCAGCTAAGTTTCACTAAAAGAAAGACACCCGCCTAAGCTACCTTTGAGCCACGAGGAACCCATGCCAACAGGGGCTGAGACACTTACTGCCAGAGCAGGAGGCTTCTTTAGGGCTGGACGACATCGGCTGGGCACACAGTTGACACAGGCAGTCTCTCCCGTTGAACGTGACGCGGTCTCCGGGGGGAAATGGGCGCCTGGGGGACAGAAGGACATTGCTTGGCAGGTTATCCCAGCGATTTCACTCCTGTTCCTTACGCCTGCTGCCTGCTGCCCTCCGGTGCCAAGTCCTTTCTTGGAGAAGCACCAGCCCAAATGTCTGAAATGCCATCTTAACCAAACCGGCCAGCTGGACACGGTCCAAACACACAAACGTGCCTCAATTTGAGAAGGGAGAATGCGCTGCGTCTGCGGGCATCCAGACAGTAAAGGGAATGAATGAGTCACCTCTGCTCACTAGTGGGGGGATGTTCCAACAAGTCGCTCAGCGGGGCGCACACAGTAAAATTTTCCAAATGGAAAACCTTTCATGAAGAAACATTTCAAATGCCATACATTCCTATTCAGGCTTAAGGCCCCTCCCCAAGAGAGCTGGTCACAGGTCAAGCGTTAACGCTTTCAGCTCCGAAGACCTCTGTGATAAATTCTGCTGAATTAGACTTTGTCCTGGACATCTGAATGGGCAATGTGAATGGATCATTGTGCCGGGTGGGACCCAGTTTCTTGTGGAGAAATATGACAATGCCATAAATATCTGTTTAAAAATTACTACTAGTTTCTTTCCAGAAAGAGAATATCCTTTTCCATGAGACAGTCATCAATAACAGCACATTTTGCAAAAATACTGCCTTCTGCATATATGGTACCAGTTTCTTCTGCAGGCAGATAGCATTTTGACAAAATCATGCATGAACAGCCATAGGTCAGCTTCCATGCCTCCTTACTTGCGCTAGGCCAGTGATGGCGAACCTATGACACGCGTGTCAGAGGTGACACGTGAACTCATTTTTTTGGTTGATTTTTCTTTGTTAAATGGCATTTAAATATATAAAATAAATATCAAAAATATAAGTCTTTGTTTTACTATGGTTGCAAATATCAAAAAATTTCTATATGTGACACGGCACCAGAGTTAAGTTAGGGTTTTCCAAAATGCTGACACGCCGAGCTCAAAAGGTTCGCCATCACTGCGCTAGGCCAAGGTGCCAATTATCTTCATTAACATGGGTTTTCGTTTTCAAATGTGTGATTGTCTCGATGGGAAATGGGGAGCTCATAAGCAAAACAGCCCCGCACACCTGGGTCAGAGCGATTACTTAAGGACAAAGTCAAGCTTCTTGATGTGAGTTTTGCTTTCACAACTGCCATCCCTCCTGAAGTCGCCCTTGGGCTGCCTCACAGTGGCAGTGAACTGTGAACTGTAATACACACCCAGGGAGTACATTCGAACCTAAGACCACGCCACCCGTGGCTTGCTGCCAGTCGCCGAGGAGCGTGTTAAATGCTCTACCCCCAAGTTTTAGAAATGCTGAGTTGTGGTCGCCTCTCTTCTCAGGGTTCAGTGTTCCTTTCCATTGTTCAGATAAGGCCCAGAGAGGGTCAGCGACCGGCCTGGATGGATCAGCTGGGGAGGCCAGGTGACAGGCAGGTGCAGGGGATGCCCACCAACTCAGAACCTCCTTATGATAGGAGTCAAACCCAACTTAAGTTCTCTAATGTGTAGCACTCACCGCAAAACAATAAAAGCACATTTTCCCACCCACACTTCAGTTTCCTTCTCTCTGACTGATCGTTTTAATCAAGTGAAGTTAAGATTTACATTGTAGATGATAGATGACCAGGAGCAGGGATTGGCAAACTTTTTACCTCCTTATGATAGGAGTCAAACCCAACTTAAGTTCTGTAATGTGTAGCACTCACAGCAAAACAATAAAAGCACATTTCCTACCCACACTTGTTTCCTTCTCTCTGACTGATTGTTTTAATCAAGTGAAGTTAAGATTTACGTTGTAGATGATAGATGACCAGGAGTAGGGATTGGCAAACTTTGCGCCTAAAATACCAGCTCATAGATATTTTTTGTACTTGGTGGATCATATGATTTTTGTCACAACTACTCAACTCTGTAGCTTGAAAGCAGCCATACATGATTCATTAACAAATGGGTGTGGCTGTGTCCCAATAAAACTTTATTTACAAAAACAGGTATTAGGTCTAATTTGGAGCATAGTTTGCCCACTCTTGCTCTATGAGACTACTTACACACACACACACACACACGTGCACACACACACACACACACGTGCACACATACATGCAAGAACTTCTACTTCCAAAGAAGCTTTATCTTTCTAATCAGTTATGTCATTTCCTCCCAATGTTTCATTGCTCAAAACCTTTTGAGACCTAGAGCTACTTTCAGACTTGGTTTCAAGCCACTCAATATGAGTCTTACTATTTAGTAGAAGACACCATAAATTACTTTTGACAAAGACTGCGAATACAGTTGAAAGATAAAGGAATCTAAGGACACATCAGAAAAAAGAATATTTTAAGACTAAGCACAATTCAAGACTCCAGGGGGCCATCCCAAGCATTGACAGCAGAGCCCAGCACTCTGCCGGGAAGCCCTCACTTACTTGCAGATGGTACACGCGAAGCAATTGGGATGGTAGGTCTTGCCCAGGGCAGTCACCACCTCTCCTTCCACGAACTCCCCACAGCCATGGCAGCGTGTCCCATACATCCTCTGGTAGTCCAGGGTGCAGAGATACTCCCCGTTCTTTATGAAGAAGCCACCTTGGGCCAGGTCACAGCCGCACACTGTGGAAAGACAAGTTCACATCCGGTTATGTTGTCTGTCCAGCTGCTGGGACAGTTGCCCTCTGCATGCTGTTCACTTACTCTATGATCTCAGTGGTTTGGGCTTAGGGGAGGGGACTGGTACAAAGAGCTATTTATTGTTGGGCTCTGATCTCTCTCTTGCCTCCCTCCCCTTTAGTTTCCTATCCTTTGGGAGCGATGCAATATCTCATACCAGTAAACTCCATTGGCCAGGTCTCAATGACTTTTGTGGTATGTCTAAGATTCAGAGATAATCAAACGGTCTTGGATGGAATGATACTCTTAGTTCATGGTGTCTTAAATATGAACCAATCTGTCCCTGGCAATGCCATTTAGGAAAGGTGCCTACTGCTTGCCCACACAACTGCTTTGTTTGAGCCAAGATTGTAACCGAGCTGAGTAATAAATTCCCACTCTATGAAAAGCAGTAGCTGAAATGTCCAATGTCTATTTTTTCACACTCTGGAAAATACTTTCTCATAGCTATGGAAAATTCAGACGTTTAATTTTCTCTTTGTGCAGTAAATAGGAATAGCCAATTATTTATGTATTATAGAGTGAGAGATAAAAATGAACAGGCAGAAGAGGAGAGAGAAGGGAACTTGCCCAAGAGAAAATGATCGTTCAGGACCTTAACACATGCAAAAGAGGGTGCTTCGCTGTGTCTGGATCCTGGTGTCTTCTTTCAGGGCTGCAGCTGTGGGCTATGGAGACGGGGCAAGGAAGCAGGTCCTGGGATGCCAGGGGCTGGGGCCCAGTTCAGACAAGACCAGAGAAGGCCACAGTAACATGTCCAAAACCAAAGCCTCAGGCGGCCACTGCTGAAGGACTGGGAAGCTACAGCCAAAGCTGGAAACCTCCAATCTTAACCCCCCAATTCCCAAGGTTGCGTGATGCCTGTACAATCAAGGGCCTTAGGCCAAGAACTCAGGATGCTTCTTGGTTATTCCTGCAAGCAGCTAATAGGCACTCAGTTGGGGTATGAAGGAGGTGAGTTCAATCACTAAATTGCTTGCCTACTAGAACTCTTTCAGGGTCCAGATTACTTCCCATGACTCATGAACACACCTAGATGAACTCATGCTGACTACAGGCACATTCTGATGGAGCTAACTACTCCCCCACCTTCAGTTCGCTGCTACTTCATAACTGTAATTTTTTTACTGTTATGAATCTTAATGTAAATATCTGATATGCAGGATGGTCTTAGGTGACCCCTGTGAAAGGGTCGTTCGACCGCCAAAGGGGTCACAACCCACAGGTTGAGAACCGCTGACCTAGATGAACTCATGCTGGCTACAGGGACATTCTAACGGAGCTAACTACTCCCCTACCAGACTTCACTAACTGCAAACGATTAAAGATAGTCAGTGTGACGTAGAGCCTACAAGCAGGCTGTCCACTGGGGATCCATCAGCCTTTGTTTAGATCAACACTCCACTGTTATGACCTCCTTCTTTGTGATTTACAATCAAGTAACCCAAGATGATAGCCGAAGTCCATCACGCCTGAGAATGACCACCCTATAAATACTACTGTGATCACATTACCTGGAAAACAGCTCATTCACCACCTGCTGCCTCCTCTAACCTGCCAGGGTCCCCACTGTTCTCACATCTGCTTCATCCTTACCAAATGGGTCCTGTGGGTTGAGGGAATGCAAATATGGACTAACCTCATCCTGCCTGCAAATTCCTTCAACAGCAATAAACATAATCTTGAGTTGGGGGAGAAGGGGATTATAGAATATCTCAGAGATTTTTCTTCAATATTCTTCTATGTACATATCTTATTTTCCCACAGGGTGACAAAGCACTTTATGGGTAAGAGTCCTCATCTTTACTTCTTTTGATCCTTCAACCATGCTGTCTAAGGTAACAACTGGGAGCAATTTTTGAGAAAAGTTGAATTGAGCCTCAAATTTGACGGGTTCCCCTGGATTCCAACCCTCAGTGACATCATTTGCTCTTCCAAACTTTCCTACTTCTCAAAGTCATGAGAAGTGAAAAAAGAATGCATTTGAACTACTATTAATTCCCTTTATTCTCTCCTCCAATCCCCACAAATTTTTTTTTATTAAAGTTGGTCGGTTTTATATTAACAGCTTAGCAAATACTTTTAACTTTTTTAAAGTGCTTTTAAAAATACTCTTGCACAAAGCAAAACTTTCACATCCAAGTGATCAAGAAGTCTCAGTTAGTAAGATCAAACTTCAGTAGAGTTTTTGATTTTTAAAACTATTTAGATCTTTAACTTTGGGTGCTCCACTTGTCTTTGCTTTAGTTGAAAATTAACATATGCCCAGGGAAAAGCAGAGATCCCTTTCATTAAAAATTATATATACCTGCCAGTGACGGAGATTAATTGCTTCCTTCTCAGTGACCAATTATTTAAAACATGTGCGCCACGCAAGGCCCCTCTGACTCTTGCTGCTTTGCCGTCACGAAGGTGTGGCTACCCCAGCCATCTGCCTTGAAGATGTTAAGGTCTTGAATTAATTTACTGAATACTATTAACTAGTTAAGTAGAAATGTGTACATCTAAGCAATTTGATGTAGAAGCTGTGATATTGTAACAGGCACATTTAAAATTTTTAAATCTTAAAGAAACAATAATAGGAGCTGCCTGTGTTGTAAAACTCCCAAGGAACAAAGTACAGAGGTGTCAAGTAAGGATGAAAACAGAACAGGATTTTCGTGGCATCAACAGGGCTGCAGTAGCAACGATCTCATCAACCTTCTAAAAGCTGCAGTTAACACTGAATGTTGCAACGAATCCACGTTTAGGAGAATAGGAAATACTTAAAACTCTGCCCAAAGGCCAGCTGGGGGTAAAATGCAAAAGACATTTCCTTCATTGATATCAGAGACTGAACACCTTTGCTGGGCGGCCACTGTCATTTGTGTTTTCACCAATTCATACCACCAAGAGAGGAAGGGACATGACACAACGGTGATCAATGTGTTCAATTTAGTTTTGAGCAACACAAGAATTTTAGTTGGGGCCAGGAGTCTTAGGTGGGTCCTTTCTTCTCTTTTCTAGAGCAAGTGCCAGCTGGTTAGCCCATCACAGGCAAAGGGAGTCCTTCTGTTCAGGGAAGTGGAGGCTCCAGGGCTGGGACCTGTGTTACACCTGCTGTTTCCGGTGATCAGGGCCAGCTGCTCCAGAAGTGCTACTTGACCCACCTGCCTGGGCCCGCACGGTCCCTGCTCCTCCCAGGCACTGGAGCTGGGGGTGGGACAGACGCAGGGCATGGAACTCGGAAACACTCCCTGGAGGATCAGTCCTGTGATTACCAAAGACTTCCCATCCTCTTCCTCCATCCTCTACTCCAACTCCATTTTAAAATAATTTTATCTCATCCGAGATGTTATTCTACTTATTTCCTCAAACTCTTTTTTCATAGAAAATACTGAGGTAGACTTTCACATCGTGCCTTCCCAAACCACCAAAAATTCCACGGTGTGTGGGGTCTCCTTGAGTCAGTCTTTGGTCTGGAACCCAGGGCAGTCTGTTTGAAAGCATCAGGCACTGAAGCTCAAAAGAGCCACACCCTGCAGCCCAGAGCTCAAAATAGCCGAACAGAGACTCGTAAACAATAACGTGAGGGGGCAGCTTCCCGCCAGAAATAACTATTTGCTAATGTGTCAGCCTGGAAGCTAATACTAACCCTCAAAAAACATGTTGCGATGGTTTTTCACATTAACTTCTCAATGCCCATACATTTCAATGACCTTTCCTGGGAAAGAAGATATCGAGAAGCCCAAGCAGATGGCAAAAGCGGGCCCCCAACGCAAGGGCTGTATTTAACTCGGAGCCTGAATTTACAATAACAAGTGGAGAGAATTGGTTGGAAGGGAATCATTTTGGCATCTCTTTTATCAATAAAATCTTTGACTATGTACTAAGCTTGTTTTTAACACTAGTAACACTTCATGGGCAAACAGTATTAATTCTAACCAGCTAAAATAACAAAGAGATCACCCAGAATGATATCTCTCAACGTCCTCTTTTTTTTTTTTCCTTCTAAGATTTGGCCCATAACACAAAAACAGGTATTAACGTCTTCCATGCCAGCACAGATTACTTCAGTAACCAGAAGTACCAGGCACAGGGCTGCCAATGTGCACAAGGAGAAGTAAGAGCTGGCCGTGTTCATAGGACCTTGCTTACCCCAGGCAGACTTATCTCAAAGTAGCCACACCTTGGAATTTTGGGTCCAGAGGTATAATTTGGGTTTTTGTTTGTTTTCGTTAATACTCACTTGAGGATATTTTTCCATTGATTTTTAGAGAGAATGGAAGGGAGAGGGAGAGACAGAGAGAGAAAAAAACATCGATGTGGTTGACTCCCACACTTGCCTCGACCAGGGCTGGGCAACCGAGGTATATGCCCTTGACCGGAATCGAACCCACAACCCTTCAGTCACAGGGCAGCATTCTATCCATTGAGTCAAACCAGCTAGGGCATCCATTGGTATATATTATTCAGATTTATCTTCACTCCAACCCCCTTCCCTTTTCGGTCCCCAGAAAGATCTGCATCATGTGTCTTTGCCTTTTATGAACTTCCAGGCTCCCAGGAGGCAGCCTCAGTGAGAGCTACCTGTGTGTCTATAAGCTGAACCGAGAGAAAACAGATGAAGGCACAGATGCAGTGCTCTCTTCATCAGCAACCACAGAAAGCAGAGAGCACGGTGTCTATTAACCCTCCTCACGGGTTCTTTACCTCTAGTTTCTCTCCTGCCCAGCCTCCCCTGCTCACCTCCTAAGAGACCACTTTATCAGGTGGTTCCCCTGCTCTGCTCTGCCAAACGTTTTGACCTTGCACATGAGGCCCCTCATCTTCCAAATGTTCATGTCAGTCTTCCTGAACACCCCACCAACACTTTGCTCCAATCAACCTGACCTGCCACCCCCTGCCGGACGGACACCTCCTCTCACCTCCTGCCCGTGCCAACCCCACCCAGCCTCCCTGGC